AATTATATAAAATTTTCTATTATATATATATATATTTTTCTTGATTTTAAATCTGCAAAAACTTTTATTCTTTCGCTAATGTCTATTTTCTGGGCAACAGCATTTTCAATAGCTAACACTATTTTTATATATAATCCACAGGTTGTGTTATGTTTAAAAGTGACAATTTAAAAGTGACTGCAGATTTTTGATGGGGCAAGATATAAACCAATTTTAAATTGCAATTACAAACTCTCATATATGGAACAATAATTACTCCCATAGGCACAGAGTATACAAAGGAACAGATATTATGTAAAGGTTTTATTTTTGTTCTAGCAATTTTCTGAAGGCTATTACATAATGTGTTATATGCCATCCATGATAGTTTATATACACAAAAATACAATAAACAATTTTTTCAATCATTGCTTACATTATCTTCAATTTGAATTTTCTAATAAGAATTTTTTCTATGTGTTATAGTAAGTTATTAAAAAATTGTAAAATATATTAGACAATTTATACAATACCTGTTCATCACAATCTGATTCTAAATAATTGCTTTCAGAAGACAAACATCCCATAAAAGTGTGATCATCTGATTCATTCAGGCATTCACAGCATGACTTGTTAATGAATGTTATCAGGTCTATCTGCAAAAAATTATAAAGTATTTTCAGTAATTTTTATAAAAGCTATAGAATTAAACATATTTACTAATGAAAGACCCTAGTGCAAAAAGTTCACAAGTCACAATTTTTAAACAACTGTATTTTTGATACAGACGCATCAAAAGCATGTAAACTTTATGTTTAAAGTAAAAAATCAGTTGAAGATATTTAAGTCCCACTTGGACAGTATGTTAATTTTTGGTTGTAAAAAACAAATTAAATGCAAAAAGTGCATAAGTCATTGTACCTCTTCATTCCCATTGACAAGATAACTCGTCGCGTTTACATAGCATTACGAAAAACTCGGTCATTAAAGCCACTTTTGACAAAAAAAATTTTTTTTGATTTTTGGAATGTTTTTTGTCTCCAAATTTTTTCAAAAATTTTGACCCGCGCAAAAAAATTTTATCACGATTTTAATCAACCTTTAATGACACGCGATTAACGCTTAATTGTTTTTTTAATGCGATTTTTGTATCAAATGTAATTAATTGTTCTAAAGTTGTAGTGCACGGATTTGACTTCAGTAAAGTTATTTAAAGCTATTTCTGATGTCAAAAACGACCTCCAATAGTTTTTTAATTTTTTTAATTAATATANTTAATTATTCTCTTTCGCTTCATTTATAATTTGATTTTTCAAATTTTTTCCGTATAGAAAAGATAACAGGTCTACTGATGTTATTCAATATAATATCTTGAAATAGCTGAAAGACATCAATTTTTTGTCATTATAGTTATATTGACATAATCTTCTTCAATAGAGGGAATGATCAGTTAGTTATACAATCATACTAAACCTGTTGACTTTTACATGCTTCTACCACTTCATCCATATCACTAATTGTCAAACAATGTTGATACAATGATTAAAATTGATGTAATATTTATAAATCAATTTACAAGTTATAATTTTATTTTTAAAGTTAGTTTTGTAAATAGATATTATTTTTAATTAGTATGTAAAATGTCTAATATTTTTATGGCAAAAATGTATGTAAAAACTTCTTGCTTAGTAAGTTTAAATACTAAATACTGTAAAGCATATGAAGAAATAAATGAACTAATTTTATATTATACAGTGGTGCCTCGTATAACGTATGCCTCAAATAATGGATGCTGCAAACAATGGACTTTCTGTTCGGCAGTTATGTGAGGCGACCAACAGACAAGTGTGAATGATGTTTCCACTCTTTTGCTGTTACCAATGACAATCTGCTATTTTTATAATATACAGTAGAGCGTCGATTTTCCAAAAGTCAATCATTCAAAAGAATTCCAGTCGGCAAATTTAAATTTTCGCCAGTACTGTGGCACTTCAATCTTTGGCTATATCTTGGGCTACTCAAATATTTTACGTTTTTGATACTAAATTAACATCTGAAGTATAATTTTTTATTATTTTTATATTTTTCAATATATTTATTTTGTTTGTACAAAATAAAAAAATAATTTTAACGATACAATAGTCTTTTGTTAGGCTTAAAGAGAAGTCTCTAGAAACGCAAAGCGACACTGAGGCACAAAATCGT